TGTGAAGAACCTTCTTCTTGCTCTTCTGGAATTCAATGTGGGTTTCTCTTTCATCAAGAAGTTGATCTTTTGGAATTGGAGTTTTCTCTGATCGAGTCATCTCATGTAAGTTCATTCTCTTGTCCTTGTGGTGCCTGATGAGTTCACGACGTAGTGGATCAACCTGCCAGTAGTCACCAGTCACCAAAGCTTCTCCTTCATGATCATCTTGTTTGACAGCAATCTGACTGTACTCAAAGTGATCGTGTTGTGAATAGAAACTTTTGACTTGTGGAGTCTTGAAATGAACTTGGCTCATGTACCATGCTACATCTTGTAGGTCGAGAATGAGATGAGTACTGATGGCTGTCCTCAAAACCATTTTTCTCATGCCAATACGTGCACAGGACAAATAAGCCTTCTCTGGAGTAAGTTCAAATTGAAATCCAAGGTTTCTCATCTGTGGAAGTGACATCAACAATGGGACATCACCTTCTTCGACAATGTCGAATTCTGTAAACTGAGTGTTCCATCCATGATCATACATGAATATCACGAGCTTCTCAGTACATTTTGATTGTTGTGAGTTTGCAAAGAAGAATCTTGAACTTGTTGGCTGAATTTCATACCAGAGTCCACTGTTGGGATGTGAGTCAACATATCTGCAAAATGCTTCAACTGCTCGTCGAGAGCCCATAGCTCTTGTGCATCCAAGATCCAGAATACACACAGTTGGTGGTGCAGAATTCTCTGTGTGAAAAGCTAGTCCATTCTCACATGCCAGATCAGTTTGTACAGTATGAAATGAAAAAGCACTCTGCTGTGATGGTTCCTCTATCTCTGTAGAGCATCCATATGAAAACAATGATGTGCCTTCTGCCAATGGCTTCCATGAAGCCTCATCTTCTTGAAGACCAACTTGCCTGGGCACTACAGCTGGACGTTGTCGTACACCTTGTCGTAGTGCACCAACTTCTCCAACCAGAACAGGGAATCTCTTCATTTCTCTCCTGTTTTGATGTGCTCTTGCATCACGTTGGTTCTGTCCTCTACGACGAGTGCGTCGTTGTTCATCTTGTGCTGAATACGTGGATGTCAAAACATCAACACGAGCTGGCTCTGTCTCTGCAACATCAACACGTGCTGGTTCAGTTGTTCCAAATGAAAAGAAACCATGACCAGAACTTGAAGCTGCAGAAGAATAATGAGCTTGTTGAGTTTGTTGATTCTGTATGGCAGGAGCTGATGTGGTCTGAGGTTGAACATAGTTCGACTTGCCTTTTCCATCTCCTGGCTTTCCTCCTTTTCCATCATCATCCTTGCCTTTCTTGCCTTTCTTTCCTTTTCCTTTTCCTTTTCCTTTCCTCTGGAAATATCCATACTCATCCATGTAGTATGAATCATCATAGGCCCAATAGCCTTCATTCCAGGTTTGATCATCGGCCCAATAGCCGTCATAGTTTTCATTCCATTCATCATCTTGCCGTTCATCTTCATAACCTTCTTCACTCACCATGTGAGAGCGGCCTTTCTTTCTTCCTTTTCCTCGGCCTTTTCCTTTTCTTGATCTGAAGAATCTTCGTCCTCCTCTGCCTTTTCCTTTTCCTTTTCTCTTTCCTTTACCTTTGCCTCGTCTGATGTATTTGCCTTGGAACCTTCTCTGATACCATGTGAAGTTGGCGTCATCATAAACCCAGAAAACATCTTCTAAAGCATCCAGGAATCCTTCTGCGCCGTCTTCTTCATCTTCGGCCCAATAGCCGTCGGTTCCTTCTAATTCACCTTCATCCAGTACGAGGAAAGATCTTCTCTGTGCCATGCCAGAGGGTTGCATCAATGGATTGTCAACTGCTGTTTTGGTAGTGCAAAACATTTCCAAGAACAGGTCACGTAGTTCTTGAATGCTGTATCGATCGAGAGTTCGTCCACGATGTGTCATGATACTTGTGAGTGTGTTTCTTTGATCTTGACTCAGGTCAGCTAGACTTACAAAAATCAATGCTAGCAAATTTTCACCCAGTGGGAATGCTTGTCGCTGTGCTTCTCTACGATTTTCCTGAAATAGTCTGAATGCCGCTAGTGCCAGTTCATCTGTCCAAGGAACAGCTACATGGGGTGTTCCTGAGGCTGCTGCTACTTCAGCTCTCTCTTGTTGATCTCGTTCATGTTCTTGACGTCGTTGTTGAACAAACAGAATTGCTTCAGGACTAGTCACTGTTACTTCTGGAAGTAAATCCATCCAAGACTCAATAAGTCTATTGCCAGTGAGTTGAAATCTAGTCATCCACTTCTGAAGATCCATGGTTCCTCTGTTGAACTTCATGAACTGCATGAAACGGTATAAGAACACGTTCTGGGCACCTTTGATGAAATGAGGTCGTAGAAATCTTTTAAAATAAGCCACTCCTTAAATAAGCCACTCCTTCATAGGGATCCCTGAGTAATTCTCTATCCAATAGCCTCTTGTATTGTTGAGCATCTCCTTCCAGTCTGTTGCGCAATGCTGGACCACGTTTCTCTGGTTCTAACTCCGTAATGTCACACCAGTCATCAATTGCATCCTCAAAAGCAAAGAAGCTGGTTCGCCCATCATAGGCTGGAGCAACCTTTGTGGTCATCTGTTGCGTCATATGAATCTGTGTTTGCTGGGGTGCTCTTCTCATTGCATAAGAGTCATATTGGTTCCATTCATTTGCATCGACAATGTCGAAGTCATCATCATCATAGCCATGGCTTGCCATTTCTTGGGCTCTACCTGGAGCTCACCCTCAATGAGGGATCACAGCTCCGCTACCACTTGAAGAGGGGCCCTAGCGTCTACTTCAAGATCAGCTAAGGCGTCTTCCCCAATGACAGCACTTGTTTTACTCAGCCTGTTGCCGGTCTGTGCTTGTCTACAGGGTTACTCTATATACCTCTTTTGAGCCTTGAAGGGCGCATATAAATGTGCTCAATACTCATGCATGTACCTATGTAGGTATTAGGTCGAAACAAAAACAGGGGGGGGGGTCCCCCCCCTTTCGCGTGAAGAATCACGTGATGTCCTTGAGCAGCCCCCCCAATACTTGCTAAAGCAAGAAGACTCCAGCTAGCTGACGCTAGCTTTCGTGATGACGCTAGCTTTCGTGATTACTACAGTATGTCAGTATGTCTTACGTTTTCCTCATTTCCTTTCTTATCTCCAAATGGCAAAAATTGCCCATGACAAAAACCAAACCGAGCTAAGAGCTATCCACCCAGAGCCTGTCAACGGTTTTGAGCTGTTGTAGCTGTTGATTTGTTTTGCTGTATATAATACATTTGAATCGCAGCGATTGACATGACAAGTCAACATCGGGCCCCCGTCATTACATTTGATAGTAGATTACGGAACTGACAACACCGAACACCACGGGCCTGCACCGGCAATGACAGTGCTGCTTTGCTCTGGCGATACCAAAGGGTTACAACTGCTCACACCATGCACTATTCAGCACACAAAACATGTTAATGAATAGCCGCGGCAGCTCCACTTCGCCATAAAACCCGCAAAATTGCAGAAAAGATGCCAAGCATACAGACTTGCAGTAGGCCCCAGTAGGCAATAGGTACCCAGGAACGATGCTTTTGTGAAATCCTGTGCCCAGCGCACACCGCCGGACCATTTCGAATATGTTCGAATCGGTTTAACGTGCTTGATTCAGACTGGGTTGTTTCTCCTTTCGTTCCGATCGGATGCTATGCATTGCTGTTGCTTCTTCGTGGCGTCCGTGATTGAGGGACATGGGAAAGGTGGAGGAGCACAGTGTTTAATGGTGGGGTCCGGGAAATGGGGGACGAGGGGTTTTAAGTCACATCCGCTACAGTAGGGTTTTGGATGGGACATCAAGCTGATTGCTTGAAAGCATTTGAAAGCTCTTCCAATGTAAATGTTCCCGTAGCAGCAATGACAGCGCGAATAGAGTACTTGTCTGGAGTACAGCACCGCAATAATGAGGCCGAAAAAATCTCACTTCCAACATCTTCCAACCCTTCGACTTTGCGCTATAGATGCTATAGATCCACTGCATAGCCATTATGCAATGCAATAGAAGGGTCAATGCAACTGCATAGGCTTAGGCCAAACATCTATTCGCCCCACGGTACCGAGAGCTTCTGTCGAGCCCTGGTTCTTGCTCGAGTTGTGTGACTAGGAGGCAGTTTGCCTTTTGATGCTTTTTGTATCTTTCTGTTATCATAATTTGCCTGTTCATTCGTTTTGGGTCATTCGGCATCCCTCTTGCACCTGCTTCGAAACACCCCACGCGGTTGAACTTGATTGAACGCAAACAAGCAGCGACGAAAGTGGTGTATTTTCACGCAAAACACGTTCTTTCCAGCGTTCGCCGCCACCTTCAGCATAGGTTTAACAATCCCAGCAAACTTTGGAACACATCCAACCACCAACAACAACCAACAACCACCAACATCATTGCCTGGCGATTGATGCCTCCTCAATTCCATAAGCTCAAGCAGCTCAAGCTCATCTATCCGAAATCTATCCTCAAGCATGGAATCTTGGCTTTACGCGACGGTTACTAATTACTCACGCGCATAGCCTGCAGACCTTCATTTACCCGATGCGGTCCTTCTTTGGGCCAAATAGCGAATGTGGTCCGACTGCGCCCTGTGCCTGATGTAGCTGCTCCGAGACTTTTCGAAACACCGCATTTTTGTCTGTAGCCAGAGCGAAACTGTGTCACGTGCCACGCAACTGAGGTCCGTTGGGGCTTCCAAAAATTATTTGTTCTTGAGAGCTGCCATGGCAAGCTGCTTGACCAGGATTCAAGATTGCTCACAACAGAAGCATTAACTGTGTCACAAGGACAAAGCTCAAGTTGCAAATCTGAATCTTCCCACTACAGACTTGAATCCCGAAAGCGGTAATCTTCAAACTGTGCGCAGGCAGAAGGAAGTGGTCAGCATTTAGGCAAGTGCAAAGCCATGCCATGCAGGGGACAACAGCAACTGAAGCGAATCCGTATTCTGTCGTTGCAATGCCTGGGGATTCGTCCTTGGACTTCCCTCTGCACTGGTGAGAAGTCTCCACAGAGCCTATCACAGCTAGCGCAAGCTTCTTAGGGTCTCCTGCTGCAAGCTTGGCAACTCGGCCAAAGTGAAGATACCTATACTTCAAGCTTTAAAACAACGTGTCCCTTTTTGTGGCTCTTGTCTCTTTGGATCGTCCAAGCAAGGCAAAACGGAGAAGCGCCGAGCGACCCAGTGTCAGCTAAATCTCTTGCCAACCTAATCAGACCCTAATCAACCCAAAGATGAACCCAATGATGAACTGATCACGGCGACTTCAGATGATCCAGGCGACTGGACATGACTTGACCGGATGACTGGCGACTCGGTGACCTGTCCTTGGCCTTCTTCAGATTCCTCCGGCGCACGCGGAGCGCGGCGTCGTTGAAGCGCAAGGGCAACGCTGCGGTTAGGTCGCTCCAGGCATTGGAGGCATCTGCCGATGAGGGCTCGCAATCTGAGAGCTGGCTGAACCTGGGACGGTCGCACCGCTCCATATGGCTGGTGATGGCTGGTGATGGCTGGTGATGGCTGCTGCTTCACCAGGAGATTTGACTCATTTTGACTCCATATGGGAGTTCCAAGCCCTTGAAAAGGTATGAAAAGGTTGGAAATGCTGATCATGGTCCAATGATTCGAGGGGTGGGCAAGGAAGAGTTGCACGAAACATGACAAAGGCAACGAGCAATGATTACTGTATGTGACGCCTCTGTAATTGCGCAGCTGAGACAAACCTGTAGCATGGATTACCTAATGCTTGCTTCAGTACTGTTTTCATGTTACGGTGTGTTCTAGAAGCCATTGCATGCCTTTCTGTCACGCAAGAAAAATTGTTTTAGCCTTCAACTTGTTTGGACGAAGCACCAGCACCCACAATGAAAACATGCAAAAGCTGTTGCAAAAGCATCAAAACCGGCTGAATTCTATGCTCAAGGTGAGGCACTGTACGGAGAGCTCTTTTGGACCTGCACAGGAAGACAGCTCGGCATGCCCAGCGTCCAGTCAGCCAGTCCTTTAATTAGTAAACTTCAATGTGTGCAGTAGGTCAGAATAGGTCAGAATCAAATTGTAAGCCATGTCTCTGATCGGGTTTGCAGTACCAAAGCCATCACCATCTGGAGCCCTTTACTGACAGCCCGCCTGCAGACGTTGGCACCACCACAGTCAATTCCAAGGTGATCTGTGCAAAAGACAGCGAATAGCTCCGTCCATATCTGTAGCCAATACCCAGGCCAACCTGGTTGGCACCAACAACGAAAGGCAGAAGGTGTGAGAAGTGACTCTCTACCGATTTTGCCAAATATGTTCCCGATAAATTCCCGCTGCCATGTGAGAATTAAGACGTGCAAAATGTCGAAGACCAATCATCTACTGTCCCCTCACAGCCGTTAAATTTGGGTCTGACATCACCTCGAAATCCCATGGCATAATGTAGCATGTTCCCATGTTCTCGTTCAAGACCAAGCAACCAGTGCTGCGTGGCTGGCCGCGCTATTCGGAACCAACTCTTGGGGAACTCCAACGACCACAGAGGTGCAAATTCCCCGCAGCAGCGACTCCGCTTGCGTACTGCATCCCCCCTGGGACTGAAGTGCTTGTTGTGGTAAACGTTTCAAGACCTTCCAAGGCAGGACAAGTTGGAGTCGAGAAGATCCTCCCTGCCAAGCCATCAACATCCCCAACATACCATGGTTGACCATCATTTTATATCAGTTTCCTCATTGAAATATACTATATTGAAAAATATCGTCATTTTATACTGTTAGTTTCGCATCCCATTATATCCCCAATGATATTCATGATATCCCTAGTCTGGTGTTGCCCCCGATGCTTGTTAATTATACTTAAACCCCCGATGTTTGATGGTTGAAACCTGATCCCCGATGCTAACATAAATCTCCACATGTTATACTTAATCCCCACATGTTTTGCTGTTTTTGCGGAATATGAGGAATATCACATACATATCATGTACAGTATATATATATATACATACATACATATATATATATAATTATATACATATATATATATGACATGCGGATGACAACCCCCACAGGCGCCTGTAACAGGTCCCCTCGGGTCGCGAAGAGCCGCCGCACCGCTTTGGACGTGTCGCTGGTGACTTTCGACGCCGAGGAGTTGGAGACTTTTGATGCCGTCGAAGCGGCGAAGGAGAAGTGGTCCTGGACCAGGGGAGAAGCCAAAAACATAGAGGATTTCACATGATGATTTAATATGTTTTAATATGATTTAATATGCTTTAATATGATTTAATGTGATTTAATATGATTTAATGTGATTTAATATGATTTAATGTGATTTAATATGATTTAATATGATTTAATATGATTTAATATGATTTAATGTAATTTAATGTGATTTAATATGATTTAATATGATTTAATATGATTTAATGTGATTTAATATGTTTTAATGTGATTTAATATGATTTAATATGATTTAATATGATTTAATATGATTTAATGTGATTTAATATGATTTAATATGATTTAATATGATTTAATATGATTTAATATGTTTTAATATGATTTAATGTGATTTAATATGTTTTAATATGATTTAATGTGATTTAATATGTTTTAATATGATTTAATATGATTTAATATTATTTAATATGTTTTAATATGATTTAATGTGATTTAATAAGATTTAATATGATTTAATATAATTTAATATGATTTAATATGATTTAATATGATTTAATATGATTTAATATGATTTAATGTGATTTAATATGATTTAATATGATTTAATATGATTTAATATGATTTAATATGATTTAATATGATTTAATATGATTTAATGTGATTTAATGTGATTTAATATGATTTAATATGATTTAATATGATTTAATATGATTTAATGTGATTTAATATGATTTAATATGATTTAATATGATTTAATATGATTTAATGTGATTTAATATGATTTAATATGATTTAATATGATTTAATATGATTTAATATGATTTAATATGATTTAATATGATTTAATATGATTTAATATGTTTTAATATGATTTAATGTGATTTAATATGTTTTAATATGATTTAATGTGATTTAATATGTTTTAATGTGATTTAATATGATTTAATATTATTTAATATGTTTTAATATGATTTAATGTGATTTAATATG